CTTCCTGGCTTCACCTCCCTCAGCTCCCCTCCGACACCCCACCTTCCATCCGGGCTGCCTCTGAGCTCCCGCCAACACCCCAGGCTCTCTCTTGCCCTAGGCAAGACGCAGATACTCCACCTGCTTCCCATCCTTAACAAATGTGCTGGGTCTTCTGGTGTCAGCTTCCCTGTCCTCTTCCCTCAGTCTGTGTGTGCCTCAGCCCCAGGCCTCACGTCACTCTGCTCCCCATTTGTCCCTCCGTGTTATAGTGGCAAGTTTAATTGGGGGCAGGGGACACGCCTATCTGGCCCAGCATCACATCCAGCGCCTGGTGTGAAGCCTGGTCCCTAGGAGATTTCATTGTATGGTTGATGGGTGAATGGAAGAACAAATAAACAAATAAATATAAACACATGCTAAAACTTGGGGACAGAGGCAGTTGGTACAAGTCCTGACACTCTGTTTGCCAAGTGGAAGAGGCTGACGAGGGTCCGCTTAGAAGGACGCCCCTGCAGTCTAGAGGAGAGAGGCAGTGGGGAGGGTGTGGAAGGAACAGCAGGAGCACCATGAGGGCACTCAAGTCTGGGGGCTTCAGAGCCCCCCACAGATGATGCACCTGCCCCGGGCCCACCCTCTCAGCAGCCCGGAGCACTGGGACTGTCCCCAGTCAGCTCACTCCGTGGCAGAGGGCCCAGTCCTGGTTGGTGGTCCTCTCCCACAGCCGCCTGCAGGAGGGCAGGGGCCTGACATTGGGGCTCAGGAGTCAGAGGCGGCTGGGGGTGTCTGCCCGCCCCACTGTGAACCCCTGCCACATCCCAGTGGGCCCCTAACGAGCCCATCCACCCAGAGCTCCAAGGGGCCAGAGGCCCACCCTTTCATTCACTCGTTTGTCCACCCCTCCTCTCTTTTGACTCATGTTCCCTGAGCCCCTCCTTCTGGGCCCTGGGATTGCAGTAATGAGCCAGAGAAACCCAGCTTCTGCTCTCCTGGAGTGCGCAGCCTACCGTGCATGCGGGAGTAACCATGGGCATCCAACCCTGACACAAAGGCCTGGCCATTGCCCTGTCTACAGGTGCCCCTGACCCTCCAGATCTCTCAGGGCCCGTGTCCTCACTGAAGAAGCCCCCCACTCCCCACCTGAGACCTCCCGGGGCCATGTCTGGTGGAGCTGCCCCAGGCCCACCCTCCCGGCACATGTCTGGCAGGCACCCCAGAGCCTCCAAAACCCTGGGCTCTTCGAGCGCATGGCCCTACACTTGGCACGGGGTGCCCTCGCCACACTGGGCAGAGGGATGTCTGTGCTCGGGAGCTCTCCCTGAGGAAGCCACGGCTCCACCCCTCAATCACCTGTTCTGGGTCTTAAGGACGTGTCCCTCACCTGGCACGGCAGCAATATGCCCTGGATCTCCAGGGACGGCCCTGCTTTGTGTCCTGCCATCCATCCCGCTTACAGTAACTTTAGTCTGTCTTAACCATCATGATTTCTCAACACAGACGTGCATCCATCAGCAAAGGGCCCAGGTCCTCTGCAGGTCCTTGGGTCACGACACTTGCTAAAGGAAGCTTCTACACATAACCCCCACTTCCGGTTTCCCTGACTCACTGTTCAGGGAGAAGAAGATCCTATGGACTCAGGGATTTCCAGGCTGCCTCCCCACAGCCTAACTGATGATGTCACACACCATCACACACACAGACACACACACACACACACGTGCACACACCCACACACACTTTGAGCTCAGTAGGACTCCTCCCTGCCTGTCTCTGGGCCCCTAAGCCCATCCCACCTCTCCACATTCCCCTCACATTGGGGAGTCCAGCCCCCCGGCCCCTGGCCCACCCCCCACAGGCCCTGCCCCTCCTTGTGCTGAGCCACTCTCTCACCTTTGGTGCCATAGAGATTGTTGAAGTTCTTCTGGTTGGTCTCCTTGGAGAGGCGGCTGGGGGACCCCGGCTGGTAGGCTGTCCTGGCCCCACCTGTGAAGCAGATGAGCTGAGTCAGCTTCAAGGCAGGCCCGTGGCTTCTGACTTGAGGGGGTTATGGGGGACTCCTTGTCCCCAGACAGCTCCCACTGCCTGTCCCAGGACCCGGGGTTCCACCACTAAGACAGCTCCTCTGGGTCTAGATTAGGCAGCTGCTTAATTTTCCCTCCTGATCAGGACACTTAAGAGTGAAAGGAAGACCATTAGTAAGTAAGCAGGAGCACCTGGAGCCTCCTACATAGACAGGGACGTATGGTCACCCTACTTGGGCGGCTTTGAGGATCACCAAGGCTGGAGAAGCCGACACCTCCTTCCTGAGCCAGTCTCTGTGTGACGGAGACCCCAGAGGCTGGGAGATGGGGTGCCTGTGACAAAGGAGGATCATGGCAGCTGTGGGGGGCACAGGTGTTGGGCCCTTGGCCAGGTAAGGGCTCGCCAGTGATGATGAACCAGTGGCCACAAACATCTCCCAGGTGCTCCCCCTCCAGGAACAAGACCTCACATTGCTCAGGAGCCTCCGAATTTGGGTTCTCAGAATAATCTTGAGAGGCTGGCAGAGTGGGCTCCATACTCCCACTTTACAGATGAAGAAGGCATGCTCCCCACATGTGTCCGGGTCCTTCGATCAGCTCCTCCCCTCCCACCTAACGAACACCCCGCTCCCGGATCTGGCCTGCCTGGCCAAGCACCTGCTGGTCCTTCTGTAAGCCTCTGCACCTGTGGGTCCTCTCACCTGGGTGGCCTCTGTCCATCACGGTCATGCCTCTTTACTGAGCACACTGCCCGTCTTTCAGGGACCTGGAAACCAGCCTCCACTGGGAAGTCTTACTGCCTGAGCTTACTGCCCCAGAGCCCCCAGACTCATGCCAGTGGCCCTTGGGTGGCCTTGTCTCCCAATCCCCTTGCTGACTCTCCCTGGCCCTTCCCTTGCCTCTACCCTGAGCCTGGGAGCTCCCAGAGGGCAGATTTCCTCCTTCCTCCTGTCCTCAGTGCAAGGGCAGGGACACCGGATGAACCTGTTTCTTCCACCTACAAATATCACCTCCTGACTCAGTGACAAGCTGAAAGACTTCCTAGCATCTGAGCTGAATTTCTCTCCTCTCAGGCCCAAGGTCCCCAGGTCCTTGACAATATCTTGGCAGGTGTTCCTCCCTCTGTCCCCTGTTGCTGCTCTGTTCCTCTCCCCACGAACTGCAGTGGAACCCACACCCCCCTCAGTCCCCTATGGAGCTGGGGGAACCAAGCAGGGACCAGCTGAGGGGATCAATGCACATCGGGGTCCTCAGAAGGACCGACCAGGGCAAGGGACACTGGGGAGGCTGGTTAATGCCGCTCACCGGCTCAAGGACTGGGCTCCAAGGACAGTGCCCTGGGAAGGGAAGGGGCCAGGCTGGCTGGCCTGGCCCACGCCAAGAATGTGGGGCAGGGGGGACTCGGCTGCCCAGGTGCCTCGCCAGGCCTCTGCCAGGGCCCAGGTGTTGTTTTCAAATTGGGTGGAGCAACAGAGGTTCCTCCCGCTGAGCTCATCTCTAAATCCCCTACGCCCTTCCCATGGTGTGTGTGTGTGTCTGAGGTGTATGAATCAGCGCTCAGGCCTGGGCGCTCCCCCGTCCCCAGCCCCTTCCCCACATCTCCCTGTCTCCTTTCTTGCTTTTCCCCACACCCCCCCTCTTCTGAAGACCACTTCATCACGCGCGCACACACACACCCTCTATCTGAGGGCTGACACACCTGGCTCACCCCCCCTCCCCCTTATGTAACGGTCATTGTCGTGGTTTGTTGCTGGTGCAAAAAGATGCAATAGGTTTCCCCAGGCCGAGGACAGGCAGGCTCTGGTCTATACTCCACCCAGGCTGGCACAGGCCGGGACCATCCAGGATCCAGAGAGGGAGGGCTAAGGACCAGGCGGCATGCCGGGAGGGAGAGGTGAGGAAAGGTAGACCAGCTGGCTGTCTCCCTGTCCTTGAGGAGCAGAACGGCCCTCCCCCAGGACTACAACAACGCAAGCAGGAGCAGAACACAGCTCAGGCCCGGCAGATGGTTGCTGGAGAAAATAGCAGCCAGAAGACCCTCTGGAAGGAAAGGGAAGGACGTGTTCAGACTGGAGGCAGGGACTGGAGGGGAGGGAAGCCCGGAGGGGCTGGTGCCGGTAATTTATCTCTAACCCGGATGCTTCTGAGGGAGGAAGAGGGGACTGTTTTTGCTTCCACCAGGACAGCAGGTATGCGCCCGGACTTCCGCGGGCAAGCCCAGTGCCGGTCACTCTGGCACGGCGGAACCCGGCTGAGTCTCCGGGCCCATGGCCCCGAGGGGCAGGCTGCTCTCTCTTACCCTTGGGCGTGAGGTACATGGAGTATCTCTTCATGGTATCAGGTGTGCTCCACTCGCTCGAGTAGCTGTTAGTGTAGGTGCTCATATAGCGGTGGTCAGCCCCTGGGAGAGACAGAGGCCGGTCATCAGAGGGGCAGGTGGGCAGAAGCGGGCCCTTGGGGGCACCCTGGGCTCTGCTAAGTCAGCCCACAGCCCCTCTGTCCCAGGCAGAGGCGAGGTTCTCCAAACTCAGAGAAGACCACACCCTGCCCAGCATCCCCTCTGCTCCTGAGCTGCTAGGACGTGAGAGAGGGTCTGCAGGGAGCCATCTACTTCCTTGGGCTGACCCCCATGAGTAAGACCGTAGGCACAGCACTTCGCAGTTTACAAGGTGCCACCGACATCCATTTCTTATTTGTTGGAGATCCTCACGCGTCAGACCAGGAAACTGAGGCTCAGGAGGTAAGTGAAGTTATTTGCCCAATGTCACATGGCCAATAAGGGCAGAGTTGGGGTGTGAGCCCTCATCCCTATGTCCTCACTTTGTCCCAGCCACTGTCAGCAGCCCACGGGCATGGAATGAGGTCCTAGCGTCGGCCTCCGTGGCCAGGGATCCAGCCAGCTGAGCAGAGGCGCGCAGAGGGGAGTGAGCTGTGTGGAGGGGCCCTGACTCTCCCCACTCCACTCCCCAGCCACCAGTATACCCTCAAACCCAGACAAATCGGTGGTGCCACGCTTGCCTTCCCCCAGCTGCCCCGCACCCCATTCCTTCCCCATCTTCCACATTCCCTCTGCCCTTCCCTCTCCCTCTCCCCCGGGCAAGAGAAGGAATGAGTGGCTCGGGCCCTCATCCTTCATCTCCACCACCTGTACCTAGCAGGGATCTGACACACAGGAGGGCACTCCACGACAAACACGTGTCCTCCCAGGTGTTGGCCCGGCCCTTCCCACAGTGCTCCCCACCCCTGCCTGCCCCACAAGCTCAGGATGATGGTGGTCAGTCCCTGGGCCTTTGGGGTTAGGACTGAGTCCCTGGTCTGATGGGTAGGCTGGCATCCAGGAGGAGAGGAGGTCTGACTCTCTGGCCTCCCATCCCCCCCGCCCCGCCCTATAGCCAGACACACTCCCAACAGACCAACATGGAGGCCCGGGGCCCCAGGCCCAGGTGCAAGGCTACTGACATGATCAGCACCCACCCTACTCCTCGCAGCGCCTCCCTGCACACTTTGCACAGGGCCCAGGGCCACAGCTGCTCAGAGGCCATGGTCAACACAGTTATGACCTAGAAATGGCACAGTGCATGGGCGGCAGGCAGAGGTCCCCGCAAGGCTCACAGGCCACCCTGGCCCAGTCAGGGCCACCCTCCTCCGTCTGGGCAGACCTCAGCGGAGGGGCTCCACCCCTGGGTTTGTACCCCAGGGACCGTGATCCTCACACTCCCCAGCCGCTCCGCTCGGCCACCAGCCACAGCAACTTCCCGGATGGGAAGACACGGGAGGCCGAGGAGCAGAGCGTGAATCCTAACTACATCCCCTGCTCAGCTGCGTGCCCTTTGAAAAGCTACTTCTCTGAGCCTCAGGCTTCTCATCTGTGAAATGCGGTGCATCCTGCAGGGAACGTGAGCCACGGTAAGTAAAGCGCTCACACAGAGCCGGCGCACTGGGAGTCCTCGGTCACTGTCGGCCACCACGGCTGATGCCATCATAATTGTCGTCAGAAGGAGGATTTCCGGATCCGAAAGCCGCTGGAAGCCTAATGATTGTCTTGCTGCAGTGGCTCAGGGATCCTCAGGTGTGACTGAATGTCCCTCACATTTCACAGGGACACTGTGTGATGTCACCATCACCAGGATATATGGATGCCCCCCTAAGCCCCGGCACATCGGCACACTATTATCCCCTTGTCATCCCCAAAGAATCCCATGCTCCGCCTGGAGACAAAACACAGGGACCGCTCCCTTTTGGGTGTTTGGGGCCAGAAGTGTCCTTAAAGCCCTGTGCTGGGCCTCGGCCACCGGGTGGGGCCTTGGGGGAAAGTGCTCCGGCTTCAGGCCCTGAAGGGACTGCGCTGGGCTGCTGAGAAAAGACTTAATGGATTAGTTTCTCAGATGAAGAGGCTTTCAATGAGGTGATTCAATTGGCCTCAGTGGGGGATGGGACAGCGTGACTCGGAAGAGAAACTGTCTTCAGGGGAGCGGGTGAATCACTGAGACACATGTGTCCCATTGTCCCCAGCCCAGCCCGTGAGGCCAGGTCCAGCCTCCGGGTTCAACACCACTCAGCGCGGCCATGGTGACAGGTCAGGTCTCCTTCCCAGCGTGATGCAGTTCTAGGTCACGTCTACTGGAGTCTGCAAAGTCACCAGGTTAGCACCTGGCCCTTACAAGTGGCAGCATCCACACAGCTGCTGGGCTGGGCCCCATAATCAGATGTAGCTCTGAACGAAATCAATCCCTGGGTTTGATGGATGACCCACAGAGAGGAGACATTTGCGCAGCTAATGCCCAGATGCTTGCTGCCCTTGGGGGCCCTCGTAACACCACATAACCTTGGCAGCCGGTTCAACGGAGGGTTACAATCCCTGAATCCTAGTCCCAACACCTTGCGTAGGACGGGCGGTTTGGGACAATGAGAGGCCGGCTGGCTAGATGCCAGCCCAGGCAGCAGGGATCGGCCTGGGAGGAAAGTGCCCATGGCCGTGGGGCAGGCCCACGGAGGACACCTACCGTTCTCCATGTGGTTCCTCTCGATGAAGTTACGGCTCAGTTCCGCCTTGCACATCTTCTCAACATGGCGCATGCACACATTGAGCAGGTCATCCTTGAAGTTGCCAAGTGACTGTCCCAGGCCCTCCCCCTCCAGCAGAACATGGTAGGTAGGCAGGGGTGGGGGGAGGGAGTAATTGCTCATCAATGCACCAAATTCCTACCAAGGAAGGAAAGAAGCCATTAACTTTCTAGGTCTTTAGTAGCTACGGGGACACTTCTTTGCAGGGAGCTCTCAGTCCAGCTGGAAGGCTCAACGCTGGGAGCCTTGTGGGTTCTAGACACAGCTCGGCTATGAAGTAGCTCCACTTGTCCTCACCTCATACCTTTCTCCTTCTGTAAAATGAAAGGGTTTGACCAAACTCCACTAGATGCTAACATCCCTGATGGTGCCAGTAGTCAGATCTATGACTCCACGGTTCCCACCTCTTCAACTGGACACGTCATCCTACCTCACAGGGGTTTCTGAGAGCAACACAAGCTGTGACATCTTTGGGAGTGAAAGCACTGAGGAGATGCAAGGTATTTCTAGAATGTTCTGGGTCAGTCAAACTACCCTCTAAGCCTGCCTCTGCACTTTGTGCTTCTCACCTCCCTTCTCCCCTCGCCGGAGGGTCCCTCCTCTTTCTGAAACCTTTATGGGCCTTCAAGACCCAGTTCAAATTCCACCTTCTCCACAAAGCTGTGTTAGATTACTCCAGCATGCTTGCCCTTCCCAGAGCTTCCATGGGCACTTATCTCCTGAACCACACGCTTTATCATTTAATTACATACTCTTCTATATTGCTCTCTAATTGTACAGGTCTTATCTTCGCAGCTGGATTGCAGCTCCTTGGGGGCAAAAACCGTGTCTTATACTTCTCTATTCTACACAGCACCTACCAGAGTCCTGGGCATGCAGTGGTACCCGAAACACTCTAGCAATTGGAAGGATGAGTGGATGAATAGACAGACAGATAAGGTCAAGGATAACACATAGGCAGCACTTCTATGCCACGCCCCATACCCAAAGCAGACCTCACTAATCAACCCCACAACTCTTTCCTACTGAGCCTGGAGCACTGTTAGTACATATCAACTGAAGTTGGTACAAGGTGATATTTGCGTGCCATCTTTGGGGTAGGTAGGGAAATGGCTCGGGTGGAAAAATTAAGTGGGCAGATGGAATGGAGCTTGGAAGGAAGGAAGGATGGATGGATGGATGGATGAAGGTTCTGGGAATGTGGGTGTAAGGATTGAGGGATCGAATGGTAGAGGAGTTGCTTTGTACCTGCAGAAACAGCACCGAGTCACTGATGCTTTGCATCTGCTCCCTGGTCTGCTTGTCCTCATGCAGCACCTTGGCCCTCTCGTCCAGAGCATCCACGATCACCTTTATTTGGTCCACGGCATCCTGCTCCCGCTGTTCCAGTGTAGCCCTCACTTCCTCCTTTTGCTTCTCCAGGTCCCGCACCAGATCCTGGAAGTTTTGCTCCAGGAGAGACTTCTCACTGGTGGTGAAGCTCTGGGTCCAGAGTGAGAGGAGAGAGGAAGGAGGGTTTCGGGAATTTTAAAAACCTCCCAAGTGGGGTGTATCTTTAGGTTCCCAACCCAGAGTCAGAACCAGGACATTTCTACTGCCCCAACCCAGCAAGCCTGTTTGGCTAAGGATCTCATTCAAAGGCATCTTTGAATGTCAATAGAGATGGCCAGGTTCATTCACAGCCCACTCGTCTTTATCTATCTGTGACTCCTCCCCCGGGTGGGTTGACTTGAGCCATCATTCCAACCTTGGGCAACTCCATGGACCCAGAAGATTCCCCCATGAGTCAGGTGGCGCTCAATGAAACCTCAACTAGAACCAAACATTGTTCAGAAAGTGAATTGACAGGCTGTTTATGTAGCCAGGGTCAAGAGTCAGTGATTTCAGATAGTGGTTTGCAATTACTCAAACCATGGCAGACATGTATCCACCCAGCCATACTAGCATCAGTAAAAGGACAACGTCATGCATTTGGTGGCTGGGTGGTCTGGTGGACGGAGTAGACACTGGAGGACACACCGGAGGACGGGTTGATCTAGGTTCTTTATTTGCTGGGATGGTGTCAACTGAGCATTAGCTGACGGACGAGATGCCACCTGAATGCCTGGCCCGGACTTAGAAAGGGAATTGGTGGGGATGCCAGGGGGGTGGGAGAACCCAGAAGAAAGAAGTGTGGAGTATAAATGGGGGCCTGAGGCCTGGAACAGGAGGCAACGCCTGCCCCCTCCCAGGTAGGACAGGCGGGGTGAGCATACAGCAAGACCATGGCCCCAGGGGCAGCTCACCTTGATGCGGTCCTTCTCCTTCTGCCACTTCTCAGCTTCATCCTCAATCTCGATGATCTTGAGCTGCAACTGTTCTTTTTGCAGGGACAGCTCTGTCTGCAGAGAAGGAGCCAGGGTTAGAGAAGTCCGGCGGGGGTAGGGAGGTGGAGGAGCATCAGAGAATCAGGGAGTGGGCCCAGCCAAGGAGCCAACTTGGGCAGGGCTCACCACTCAGCCCTTCAGCCTGTATTCTGCAAACAGTCACTGGGACCTCGGATATGCCAGGCCCCAAGCCTGTCACCAGGGATCTGGCAACAAGTCAAACTGTTGGATGTATGTCGCTATAAACTCGGGCCTCAGGGGCTAGGCGTCCCAGCCATGTCTTTATAAGGACTAAACCTCTGCCACATCCCCCCACCCAAAGTGAGCAGGAAGGTTAGTTCATTTATGGGGTTCCCATTCCTTTCAATGGACCTGAGGCCACCAGGGAGGGAAGGAAGCTTCTACCTCTTTCAAGCTTCAGGGAGAAAGGGGACCCAGCCCAGTCCAGCCCAGGGAGTGTCCCATGGCAGGAACAGTGTGCAGCATTTCTCTGCCATGACGTGGGGCCTGTGTTGCAAGCAGGAGCCCAGGCTGCAACCAGCAGGGATTCCGTCTGGACAGGCACAGCTGTAAACCTGTTTATGGGAAAGGCCGTGCAGTCCGCAGTTTGGGCAAGACAGGGACTTCTTTTCGGGGTCGGTGAGGTGGGGGAGGCAGTGAAGGGAGGAGGAGAGAAGACAAACAGACTCCAGGGATTCCCCGCTCAGGGGAGGACGCAGCCTGCTGGGGTCTGGGGGTGGGGTTGGGAAGAGGACCGACGAGGTGCCTTGGGATGTGAGCTCTAATGGATACGGAAAGTACGGATAATATTTTCCTTCCATTGGGTTAATGCCTTCTCTGGAAAGCAGCTACAACAGAGACAGAAGGGGAGGCATGAAGCTAAGGCCAAGCCGATTCAGCCAGGCCAAGAGGCACCTCTTTGTTCTGCTGGGATCCCTGCCAGTGATCTCAAAACACCTTCCAGCTTAGAAAGACTGGTGGGTGATCTCCACCCCGCAGGCAGGAAGACTAAGGCATCCAAGAACGCCTTAGGGTGCTCACAGTCTCCCCACTACCTTTTGAGCAGAGTTCCACGCCTTTCTCCAGCTATCTCTTTGAGGAACCCACAAAAAAAGTCAAGATGAGGAAGCCACAAGCCACTAGGAATGTGAGCTCTGTTGGCAAGGAGTCCTGAGCGGGGTACAGATATGTCACACCTCTGGAGGGCTCCATCAGGCCGACGGGGTGCTGACTAGGGTCCCTCCACAGACACCCAGGGAAGTGGATTGAGAATGGAGAGAGCTTCCCTGGCTTTCTTGGAAAGGCTGCCCAGAGGGTCAGGGAGCAGGTGGAGAAGATGGGGAAGGCCCGGACCAAGAGCTGTGGAGGTCCCGGACAGAAAACCCCTGATCCCACCCCACAACCCCTCTCTGCCCACACTCCTGGGCTCTCCAGGCAAGGAGACTCCAGGTTCTCAGGTAGCATCTGCCCCACCAGCAATGGGCAGCAAATCCCGCACCATGGAAAATGCTATCACCAGAGATGGACAATGACTGTCAGGAGGAAAGGAGTGAAAGGAGATGAGGGTGGGATTTGGCCTAGTTTCTGGAACAAAGCTGGGGAGAAGCCAGGAGCCAACAGACACAGTGCCGGGAAGGTGGAGAGCAGAGGACAGAGAGCCAGGACACAACGGGTGGCAGATCCAGTGGCCTGGAAGGATCTGAGCCATAAAGAAGAGACAAACGGCTGGACAATGGGTCTGTGCCAGGCACCTTGCCCATCCCAGGAGAGCTCCCAGCAAGGCCCCAGGTGAAGGGGACAGCCGGAAGCCACCCCCCTGCAGCTGACACCTCCTGACCCGGCTAGAGAGGGGGCATTGGTCCCTGGGTCTCTCAGCCCTACCTCAGCACCCCCAGAACAAGGTCTGATGGATGGGAAAGCAGAGAACGAAAGTTCATTCACTCCCATGCCCCAGGGCCTGTGGCTGAGGGTGGGGGAGGGCAGCCCTCCCATGAATGAGCACGGGTGAGCCAGGAGGGACCCCACCCAGAGCTGGGACTGGGAGTCCAAACATTTGAATCCAGTTACCACCACTTCTAAGCAGGTGGCCTCTGCAAGTGACTTAAGTTCTCTGTGCCTCAGTGGCTCTATCTTTTGTGGACATAGTGAGAGGTCTGCCCCCAGAGGCCATGGATGAGCTGGGAGTTGGGAGGTGAAGCTCTCAGAAAGTGCCCGGCACAGAGAGAGCCCCGGCCAGAGGTCCAGCGTCACGCTGTGCGGGGCACGGTCCATGGGCTAGGAGCCGTGCCGGGTGCTCTCCCTCCCGCCGGGCTTGGAAGAGAGGGTGCAGGCCAGTGGGGCACAAGTGAGCGGGCGGGGGGTGGGGTGGGCAGGTGTGATCAGGTGAGGCCTCGGTGGTGTTCAGCAGCGAGGACAGCAGGTGCCGCTGTATTGGGTCCGGGGATAGTGTGTAGGCTGTCGGGGTACAGGGAGAAGTGTGGACCCAGAGGCCTGCATCGTGGAGAACTGACACTGGGGAGAACAGAGCAGAGGGAGGGGAAGGGAATGAGGGTAGGCTGACCTTGCCCGTGGGAAACGGTATGACCAGAGAAGGTTAAGGCCAGAGGACTCATGTGGGGTGAGCAGAGGTGCCGGGGCTACCTGCCAGGAGCCATGGGAGCATGAGGCTGGGTCGGGGCCTGCAAGTGAGAAGTCTCACCCGACAAGCGCGGATTCACTGGCCCAAGAGCGAGTGCAAAGGAAGGGGGTTAGAACAATGAAGAGCCCAGGCCAAGGGCAGAGGGAGTCAGACACTGGGGGTCCATCCTGCAGAAGAAAAGGAAGGAAGCAGGCACCAGGGCTGGCTGAGGTGTGACGAGGAGGGCCAGAGGTGTTGGCCAGTGACCCAGGAGGGGAGGGCGGGAGCAGCCGATCTGGAAGCATGCAAGGGCAGGGTCGAAAGTGGAGACACACTGCCTGCAGCAGTGGGCGGAAGACTCAGTCAGGGGGGAGGAGAGACTCGGCTCCGTATTTCTTTGGGGCACGGGGGAAGTCGGACCCAGGCTGGGAGGGGGCCTTGCAAGACCAGACTTGCAGGACACAGTGGGCCCGGGGAAGGGGCCTTGGACTGGGAGCTCCGTGCGGCTACAAGGGTCCCTTCTTGCCTCTGGGATGAGGGCTCCCCTCTGCGGAGGAGGCTTTGGGGTGAGACCCCTGGGGGTATATGCAGCATCTGTGTGGCTCTTGGCAACTTTTCCCTGCTAACAGGGCTGCCTGAAGCTGGAAAAGGCAGGATGTGGGAAAGAATATAACATAGGAAGGCCCCAAGATAGTGGGTTCCCCCACAAAACTAGGAGAAGGAAGGACACTAATTGTATTATTGAGCACCAGCCTTTTTCTTCTTTCATCTGCAAGTGGTGTTACCCCATTTTACAGATGCAGAAACTAAGGCCTGAAAAGATTAGGAACTTTGCCCAAGTTTTCAGAGCTAGAAAGCCATTAAGGCCAAAATGTAACAATAGGAATCAGATCTCATTATGTGCCCTCTTAGCCTCTAGACTCTTCTCTGAATCTTCCAGACATTGTCCTCCCCTTCACGCCTGCTAACTTAAGCCTGCCTAGGCTCCCCCACCCCACAGATGGTACAGTTTGGCCATCCTGCCTCTTTCCTCGTCACCCCTTTTTCCTCCCCACACCCTCCTTCTCGCCCCCTGAGGCCCCAGCTCTCTCTCTCCCTCCTCCCTTGGCATCTGACGAAAGCCCCTGATATCTGATGGGACCTCAGCTCCCCCACCCCTCCATCCCCATCTACACCTCCCTCCTCAATTCCTCCCACTCCCGGTTCCTTCCCTCCACCCTGCCCAGGCCCGTCCCTAAATGCCTCCTTTGTTCCTTTCTCCCACACTCGTCCAGTTGCCTCTCGTTCTGTTGCCTGGGATGGGCACGGAGGAGGCCACCCTGCCCGCAAATCCCTCTGGCCTTGGGGGAGCAGAGGTTTCTCTGAGAGCAGAGTGATGGCACAGCAGCGGGGGGTGCCCCAATCCGATGGGCCTTCTGCTGCAGACACCCCTGAGCACTCACTTGGACAGGTGTTACCTGCATGGCCCCCAGGGAAGGGGGGATGAGGCTGTGATCCTCCTCAGGCTTGATTTAACCACATGGGCCGTTGGCTCTGATATTTGCCAAATGAGCCAGTTAATTGCCAAATTTGTATTCTCAGGCAAACGGTAATTATCTGGATAAGAATCTGAAATGCTGGGTAGATTTCCCCATTTCCACCCAGATGTCAAATAGCCCAGTACTAGTCTGCGTGATGGGGGCTCCCAGTCCCTTCTGCTTCCTTGGGTGTCGGGACAGGGACCGCGCAAGACGGGGTAGACAGAGTAGCACCCAGCTGTCTCCAGACTGGCAGTGGGCCCTTGAGAAAGTCACCCCACGTTTACCACGCCTCGATTTCCTCCTGGTGATGTTGGACAAGATACCTGATTCCCAACCTGGCTACACATCAGCATCACCAAGGGAGACTTAAAAATACAGATTCCAGGCCCCAACCCCCTGAATGAGAACCTCCTGGAGAAAGGCCTAGGCAGCTGAGTCTTGATTCTCCAGGTGATTCCAATCTGAGGATGAGCTCCCCCCCGCGCCCCCACGCTCCCCAGGATAGCCTGCCATCCTGTGAAAACAAAGTGTAAAATGGTAGAGAGGAAACTGCCATCAGAAGAGTCTGAATCCTGGCCCTGCCACTCCATGCTGGGACTCTGGAGAAGTCTCTTGGCATCTTTGGGCCTATGTCTTCATCTCTAAAATAGATGCAGTAGCCCACACCCTGTGGTGATGTTGTCAGGAGTGACAGGTAAACAGCCAGTGCTCCATAAAAACCGGAATGTCTCTTTCCTCCCCTGCCTCCTGTCTCTAAAGAGGTTCCAAGATAAACTGCTTCCCCTCAGCATCCATGGAGGTCACCCCTCTCTGTTCTCGCCCACCCTGTCCCAGAGCAGGAGCTCCCCCACCAGCCCCTAACAGGATCCTTCCTGATCCGATGCAGCAGGAGGGACTTGGGATAGACAGAAGGATGGGCCATGAGACACAGAAAAGGATGGGGGCGCCTGGGTGGCTCAGTTGTTAAGCGTCTGCCTTCGGCTCAGGTCATGATCCCAGGGTCCTGGGATCGAGCCCCTCATCGGGCTCCCTGCTCGGCGGGAAGCCTGCTTCTCCCTCTCCCACTCCCCTGCTTGTGTTCCCTCTCTCATTGTGTCTCTCTCTGTCAAATAAAT